CAGATGTAATCTTACACCGCTGAACTTTCTGGATGATTTCTAAATTGGATGGTGTAATGCTCCCAGAGAGTGTTTTTTTATTGTTATTTTTTTATTTTAAAGAAAGAGATTATAACTCTCTTTTGTTGGCATGTGATGGAAAGATAATTGCTCAGCATTTTCAGCAAGTTTCAGCATTACAACAACATCAGAGGGACCTTTTTTTTTGCCACATCACTGTTTCAGCAGCATGCACACGCTCTCTCTGTAACACACACACCCAAAACCATGCAGCAGAGAGACAAAAAAGCAGAAGGAAGTGCTTATCACTTTATCTTTTACTTGATCACCACATCCACATAATTATTTGTGTTTGACTTGTATTTTTAAATTTTTAAAAAATATGACAAAAGTCTTTTTTTTTTACGGCAACTCAGCCCAAGAGAAAGAAAGAGATGTATCGATACAAAACACAAAGGTATTGTTGGCAGCTTTGATGGATCTGCCAACATAATGTTTGAGAATACTAAATGTGTCAATACCCCTCGTGGATCAGCAGGTGTCAGTGTAAACCTAGAATGCAGCACAACCAAACCTGAAGGTTGTATTTCCTCTGTGATGATGCATCACGGGCATTTACATCCTCACAGAGGGTAAAAACACAAACCCATGTGTTTGGTGCTGATGTGAGTGTGCTTTCTCTATTTTGAGGTCTGCGGCATTGGTATTTCACAATTTTCTTCCATTTATATCTTTCATTCCAATGCAGTTATTTCATATATTAAGAAACTCTTGCAACAGTGAGATTACCCTCAATAGATTATCATATATAGTCAGCTAAGCTTTGTTTAATCAAGTTTGAGATCAGCATTTCTTGTGAAGCCAAAACCCCAGAGCAGTCATCAAACACACACACCCCACCTGTTATATTTCCATTCAGAGTGTGGCTCAGAGTAAGAAGATCAGAGGCGAGATTAACACACTTGATTTATCCACAGGCAGAAAACCTGTTGTTACAGCAGTGCAAAAGAAAAGCCAAATAAATCTACAAAATAAGCGTGAAGAGTAAAGAAAATGATAAATAATAGCTAACCACACAATAAATTGAAAAGGCAAAGCTGTATGCAATACAATACCCAGTACAATACCCTATGCCAGTGTTTATAAATGTGCTTTATGTGTATAAATAAAAGGTGGACGACACCTGAAATCATTTAGCCATTGCTGTACTGAAGGAAGTTTGAATGTTTTTCAGTGTTGTAGACCGTTCTTTAGTTCAGTGCCATACTGACCAGCCTTTGAGACTCCCTCAGTGCAGGCAGTGTCTCCCAATGACTGATTTGATTTCCTTTAATTACTGGAAACTGGAGACCTAGTAGGGATAATTTCCAAAAGAGAATATTTGAGCATAATTTGGAAAGTTAATAGTATTAATTTAGCTTCATAAAACATTTATGCATTTGGCTGATGCTTTTATCCAAAGCGACTTACAATTGCAATACACGTCAGAGGTCGCACGCTTCTGGAGCAACTAGGTGTTAAGTGTCTTGCGCAGGGACACAATGGTGTCACAGTGGAGAGTTGAACCCAGGTCTCTCACAACAAAGGCATGTGTCTTATCCACTGCACCATCACCCACCCAAAAACAGGATGCGCAGCACACACAAGTTTGCAATGACATTATAAACAAACTTAACAGGAACAACTACCTGGTTTATCGTCACTGTATGGTTGAAATGGTGTGTTGTTCTCCTGTTATTTTATCATATTCAGGTCAGTGTGTTCTGTTCATACTGGCATCCTTCCGCTGACATGATTTAAGTGGTTTGGTAAAAGCTCATCAGAGACCTTTCTAATGCCCCAAAACAACAACTTCTAAACAAAAAAATGTAGTAAAACAATTTTATAAAGATACCTTTAACAGGAAATTGAATGATTATGAAATGGCAACTCACAAATATCTGGGATGAGATAATCTGATCAACTCTAAGAATTGTACATCTTGTTTCCTCACTCTGAGTTTCTTTTCGGAAACCAGTACATCTAATATAATAAAGGCTATAAAGATGTCTAGTCAAATTAGGTGACACTTAGTTGTACTTCTTAGAATAGCAGAAGTTCCTTTTGAGGTTTGTGACTTCCTATTACTGCACTTGAAAACCCATAAGGCCATTCCTGTATTACACTGCAACATAACATGACAGAGACCCGAGCAGACCTGCCAGGCACAGAGGAACATGTAAGTGCTTGATTTGTGAGGACAAGGTCTGCATATTTGCATATTGTGTTCTAAAGTTTCAGGATCCGTATCTTGCAATGGGACAAATCAATCCGTTTGTGTCATTTTTTTCACTCATTACAACTTTGAAAATCAAATGAATGTGCATTGGACTTGGGTGAAAGGTGGTTACTTGATGTGCTCTTTTAGCAAAAGGACAGTTATAAGATGTCAGACTTGTTAAAACTATATGCTATATATGCTATTTGCTGTGTTTGTTTGTTTTTTTGCTTTTGCAGAGTTTGCATCTGCAGCAGAGTAGTAACCACAATGGCCAGGCACTGGGTCCAGCAAAATGTCACTCAGCAATTCAGCAATTTACTTTTTCCGCCAAATGTGAACTCTGTTACAGCTGAACCACAGTTACAGCTATGTGATTTACAATTCAAGCAATTACACGTTTGGTTAACAGGATAAGCCAAATGCTTTTGACCCTTTAATGTAAAACCTAATAACTACAGAGATATTTTAATCCGATGGCATGTTGTATCTGATCTGATCATGCCACACATGATCGATCAGATACAACATGCCATTGGATTAATCATGTGTGACATGATCAGATCTGACAGGCAAAAGTTAGAAACGTGACTTTGAAAATAATTTGTAGAATTGTGAAAAGGAAGTGGGAAACGTGAAAGATAAGACTGAAAAGATGTAAAGTGGCAGACACAAAGGCTTCAAATACAATGTAAAATGTCACTCTCGCAGAACTGCTTTGAAACGGACACAAATAATGTTCTTCAGTTGTTAGATTCACTCCTAACACGCACACAGAAAACAGTATTGTAAAAGTCACATTAACCTTTTAGGTGGGAATCTAACAAGAAAATGTGACTTTACTGACCTCTAGTGTACGAGGGTAGCAAAGGAAGAAGATGGGTGAAGTATACTGTAGATATGCAAAAGTCCGCAAAAGAAGGTAGAAAGAGGATGGATCGGTCAAAACCAGGACTCTCAACACGAGTCCCATGTGAAACCAAGAATATGTTGAGTTATTTTGTGTTTTAAGTTAAATAGTGTTACCGAGAGTGAAGTCCCTTGATTTACGTCATGTGACTTATGTTAACCAAAACCACAAAGTTTTCCTAAACCTAACCAAACTAGGACTGTTTCATAGTGTTAACCATGTGTTTAATGTTATGTGACTTACTGTATATCATGTGATCTACATAACATAGTTAAAGTCTGGTTGCCTGATGCTGGACTGGGACGGGAAGCGCTCATTTGTGTTGTTTTAGGAAGCACTGAAAAACTATAAGTAACTTTATTGGTGTCCAACGAAGGTTAAAATCAAGGGCAACTGGACTTGGTTGAAGATACTGGAAGACGTTTCGTCCCTCATCCAAAGGACTTCTTCAGTTCTGACTGACTGGCAGGGAAACTCAGCTATTTAACCTCAGTGGGGTCGTTATCCCGGGTCATCGATACCGCTGGTTCGTTAGTGTTCCTGGTTGCTGTAACGACAGTCGTTACAGTCGTTAAGACTACCTGTGGCCAAGACTGAACGACCATCGTTGGTATCTTCACCTGAGGCCAATAGGTTACGTTTGTTGAGTTTCCTGGGAAGTGATGAAAGGACAGCATTGTAAGTGGGGGATAAGTGGTGGCGTAGACCCCCTCCCCTGTTCAATGACGGCTTCTCAACCCTGGTGTAGATGCTTCCTTGACACCTCTTTTAAACCATCCATCTTCTCTGTCTAAAATGTGCACCTGGTGGTCCTCAAACGAGTGTCCTCTGTCCTTCAGATGTAAGTAGACTGCAGAGTCTTGACCTGAGGAGTTGGCCCTTCTGTGTTGAGCCATGCGTTTGTGTAGTGGTTGTTTAGTCTCCCCAATATACAGGTCTGTGCATTCCTCACTGCACTGGACCGCATACACTAGATTGCTTTTCTTGTGTTTGGGTGTGCGGTCTTTGGGGTGTACCAGCATCTGTCTTAGTGTGTTCTTGGGTTTAAAAAACACAGGGATGTTATGTTTGTTGAAAATCCTCCTGAGTTTCTCTGATACTCCAGACACGTATGGAATCACAATGTTGGTGTCTTACAGGTTTCTTGGTGATAGAATTACTATTATTTAAATTTAACAGACGCTTTTATCCAAGACGACTTACAAATCAAATAAGGCATGAAAAATGTTCACAGGTTGTAACTAATGATGTTTTTAATTGTTTAATGTTGTTAATTTTGTTAATTCATTTGTTTTTAATGCCTTGTAGCCAATGATGAATAATCCATTAATTGAGATCAACATTTAGATGCCAGGTTGTAAAAAATCCTTGACAACCCAAACGATTTTTATAATGAAATGCTTTCTGTTCTTTTCTATTCACCGTTACTTTCAGTTTTAATGTATTTATTTTTCAGTGGAACACACTATTCAAATGAAACATACTGATCTAATCTGCATACAGAATCCTGACTCAGCTGCAGAAAAACACACCCATGTTTTTCTCACCTCGTCTGCATTTCTTGTTCTCTTTTGGGTGTGAGCAGTGCTGTTTGTGATGCATGTGAAAATATGTTCCATAGACATTTTCTGTTATTTAAGAAACATATGCAAGCTCATTCAGCTACAACGTCCCTGATAACCTCTGCCACCATGAACGCATTATAACAGAGATGTTAGAAAAACTCATTTCCATGTACCGAATTTATTTTCAATTTTAAAATGCTGACAGTTTCTGTCACTTGACATTGTAAATTGCTTGACTAGTTTGACATGTTCTAATCTCCTTTTTTAGATCTCTGCAGTGTGAAGCGGGAGGCTTAAGAAGTTAAAGAACATCAGCTCCATACAACATTAAGACATTTGTCCTTCAAGATGGACAACCACATGGGGAATAGCAGCAGTGGCCCATCAAACGAAACAATGAGTTCTTTGAGCATTTTTACTATTTTCCTCCATGGCGTGTTCTCTTCCATTGGCATCGTAGAAAACCTCCTCATCGTCGGAGTAGTGGGTTTCCATGTCCGCCGCTCTGTAATCAGCATCTGGATCCTGAATCTCGCCGCATCTGACCTGCTGGCCACCGCTTCCCTGCCCTTCTTCACCCTCTACATGGCCCGCGGCCACACCTGGACGTTGGGTGCGACCTTCTGCCGCATCCATTCCTCCATCTTCTTTCTCAACATGTTTGTCAGTGGCTTCCTGCTGGCTGCCATTTCTATGGACCGCTGCCTGGTGGTGCTGAGACCCGTCTGGGCCCAGAACCACAGGAACGTCCAACTCGTGGTGAAGATATGTGGGGTGATTTGGGCCTTGGCTGCGGTCTGCACTATCCCCTTCTACATATTCCGTGACACAATTGAATATAAAGGCAAGATCCTGTGTTACTACAACTATGCTCGATTCCTTCCTGCTAATTCCACTGCTTTATCTAAGCAGCGCAAGGAGGCCTTGGCCTTCATGAAGCTCTTTGTATCCTTCCTGATCCCTCTGCTAATCATCATCCTCAGCTATGCTGCTGTGAATGCTAGCTTGGCGCGGAGAGGCTGCCGACGCCCTTTTCGTTTTGTCCGGCTTGTAGTGGCCGTGGTAGTGAGCTTTGTACTCTGCTGGGCGCCGTACCACTTCTTCATCGTCATGGAGGTGATGTCCCCCGATGGGCATCCGGTACATAAATTTGCAGGCAAGGCACTCCCGACTGCAGCAACCATCGGCTTCCTTAACAGTGTCCTTAACCCCGTTCTGTACGTGTTCAGCTGCCCTGACCTGTGCAATAAGATAAGACATTCTCTGGGTGCGGTGATGGAGAGTGTTCTGGCTGAGGATCTGGCAGACCTGGCCCGACGCCGCAGCACTGTTCGCAGCTCTATCAGCACCAACGATGCTGAGTTAAGGAAGAAGAATTCTATTACAACCTTGTGTTTGAAAACAGACGAGATAGCGCTGAGTGAAAATCCCTGCTCAGAACAGAACGAAAATGTACAGTCAATCCTCTAACAGTGGCCATGCTTTAATTTTACAGCACAGAAAACTGGGCCTGAATTTGCTTTTGATGATATTTTCTGTTAATGGAAACACGAATCCATGTTTACCTGTTGTCGTTATAAAATGAGCATAATGTACATTCCAAAGCCTTACTCTCACCAGTACAAGAGTCATACTCACCAACTTGCAACTACATTCATTCACCTCCCATCGCTTCCTAATTCCATTTGTACCATTTTGCTGGGGGTTTTATTTGAATCAACGTCAACTAATTGTCACACACATTCATCCATCATCACACATCCATCAGTTTCAGAGCTGTTGAAATGTGTGATGATGGATGAATGTGTGTGACAATTAGTTTCAGGCACGTAGGCTCAGTGTGTGAATGGGCGAATGCAATATAGTGTAACAGCGCTTTGAGTGGTCGCAAAGACTAGAAAGGCGCTATCCAAATACAGAGCATTTACATTTCTAAAAGCCATAGATTTTATAGAGATGCATTCAACCTGGCATAATCAATTCTGTGTTGCATTTCATTGACGGAAACTTAATCATTTTCAAAAGATCCATCGGACGTTGTTGTACTAATGGAATAAGTGTCATGGGAATGTACATTATACTAAAATTATCATGTGAACTTTTGGAGTATAAGGCCCTCCTCAAAATTTTCTACACAGTCTTTATTAGCGACAGGGATTTATTTGTTTGTACTTTTGTTGAATGGGCTATACATTATTGCTTCATTATAGTTCATTGCTGTGCAAAAACGCCAAGCTCTCACTAGATGTTATCACTAGATGTTATCTAAACAGTATGCTAATTTTATAAATGCTCCCATTGTGTCTATAATACAGTGTGATATGCCTTAAATATGGAATAGTATACTTGCTTCATTGTCCATGTAATGTCTATACTTTTCAAAACTGTGACCTTTCTAAGTATTAATAAACAAAAGGAAAAGCACTCTGCTGTTGCAATATGACACCTTCCTTGCATTTATACCACAGTCATACTTTCGTTTCCAACATGGTTCACACTAATTCTTTTTTTTAAATGACGCACATCCATCAAGTGATAAAACATGAATTTTTAATCGTTGTAAACACAGCAGTAAAAAAAAAAAACAGTTAAATTGTGAGATAACCACAACGGCTGATTTCCATACACTGGCCATACTCTTCAAACAAATCTGGTAAATACATTAATCAGATAAAGTGTATTCTATTTGGCTGTGTATGTCTAGTTTGAGGCTACAATGGGTATGAAAATCACAAAAGAGCGGATTTTTGTCAGATATGAAACATTGTAATCCCATGTTTAATTTTATAGTGTAGAGTTTATGTAAGCAACAGTTTAGGATCTTTTTTTCTTATCTTTCTTTATCTTCTTTGTGATCTACGTGCTACACCGATATGATTCTATTTTCGGAAACTGTGTGTATTCGTGAGAGCTAGTGGAAATGTTTTAGCTCAGGAAGTTGAAACAGGCAAATTGGTGTAGTCACTCAAAGGTGAATCTCACAGTGAACAGAAACTGTACACATGCATTTCCACTGGGTGGCACAGTTGGCTTGACTAAATACCATGAGTCAGCTCCACAGTCAAATCCAAGTTATATTATGCTAGAAGATTATTATGTCCAGTTTCACCCTCCCTCTGGTTGTCTGGGTGAGCTCGGAGTCTGAGGGTGATCTTTTTGCTGGTGTTTTGCCCCCTTCCCAAACAGGGCAGGGACCTTTGCAGCTCTAGCCGAGCATCAGGGCACAAGAAGATGTAGAAGAGCGGATCCAGCAGGGTGTTGAGACTGGTCAGACCGTAACACAGACGATAGATGAGGAAAATGGAGCGTTCCAATCCACACGGCTCATCGGTCAGCAGCAAGGACACGAACCTGTATCCACCCACGAGGTGATAGGGTCCAAACACAGCGATGAAGTTGACGGTGATCACGACTAGGATGCCCACGATTTTGTGCCGCTCATGGTTGGAGAGGGAAGGAGATCGTCGGAGTGTCACCCCAATGTGGGCTGAAGTGTAGCTAAGAGAGGAAGCACAGTTGCAGATGAGAACTCAGCTGTCAACCATCAGATTATATAAAATGGTATGATGTCTTATAAGAACAGGAAAATCAGTGGTTTCCTTCCTCTGTACCACTTATAATAATTAGAAATGCTCAATAACTCAGTATCACAAGGATTTCACTGCATGTTTTCAGTTTGAACTGTCATTTTAGTTCATGTCACACTTGGCTCCATAAGTGTTATTGTATTATTCCAACTTGACAGAATCTTTACATGAACAGTTTTGGAAGCACAGTATTACACACAGGATAAAACAGAAATATCCTCCCAGGGATCTTGGGGTAAACTCACCCTAATATGGCACATGGCAGCAGAAAGCCGAGAGCCACAGTGGTGATCTTGAAGTGGGCATATCCGGGACTGACTGGGTACTGCTCCAGACACAGCAGTCTGTCAGAGTCAAACACTGACGGCAGCAGCCCACTCAGGCAGAACAGGAAGGTGAGGATCCAAACTGCCACACCGGATATGGCTGCCACCCTGACACTCCGCACCCTTCGGCTGCTTAGCGGGTACACGATGGCCAGGAAGCGGTCCACCGCTATCAGGCACAGGAACATGACACTGGCATACACGTTTACGTAAAACACATATCCCACCAGCTCGCAGGTTAGCTGGCCGTAGGGCCAGCGGTGCGCACCTTGGAGATAAAGGATCCACAGTGGTAGGGTGAGCAGCTGAAGGAGGTCTGAAAGCAGGAGGTTGAGGATGTAGACCAGCTGGCAGCCTCCACCACCTGAGCGGCCAAGGTGGTACAGTCCCCAGAGAGACAGCAGGTTGCTGGGGAGACCCAAAGAGAAGATCAGGCCATAGATGCAGGTCAGGCCAAATGTATCTGTGTCCAAGGGGAGGTTGCAGCTGTCATTGGACATGTCTCTGCAGCTCATGCACCTGACATGGGAAACTAGAGGTGACCCTACTCAGACATGGACTGATACTTGCAGTATAATGAGCCGGTATAGAAATACCCATTCATTCAGTCAAAGCAAAAGAAAAGGGAAGAAGTCTCGGTTGCATCCACTTGTCTTTTGTCCGTTGAGTAATATTCATAAATGCATTCTTCTGTAGAAAAGGTCAGGCTCAAATTTCGTGCTGTCTGTCAACCAGCATCCAGGATCCATCAGGGGAAACAAACACCTGCAAACAAGGGAGCAAGGGCATTCTCAGATTTAGTATCAGCAGGTGTATGAGCAGTTAAACCATATAATTCAAATTATGACTTTCACTCACCTCTAAAGGCGGTAAGAGCGACTTTGTTCCACAGAAGCGTCCTGCCCGCTCTGCAGCTGGGTGACCTGTACTCAGAAAATGTTGGGAACACCGTGTCTCCACCAAGCCTTGTCTATTCTCTGATCGTTTCCTCCACAGGAAACCCACTTCTTCAGCTTTAAAGGCAACATCCTGAGGCAGGAGAACGCCTTTCTGCCCCAGAACAAAAACATACACTCTCTCTTTACTCTCCTTACTCCAGTAGTAGGCAGGATGATTAAGGTGGACAGGGGCCGAGAGGGGAGGGACTGATGTAGGCAGTCCACTAATGCCCTTTAGATTATCGGTTGCTGGCTGTGTGCCATTAAACCCATTAACCCTTCATTTTTAAACATGCTTTTCAGCACATTTTAATATATATTTTACAGTGTAAGTATGCAGACTCAAAAAGCAGGTTTCCCATGGTAAACCATCTAATGTTTTTGTGGGCTTTTGTGTGTTAGGGTTAGGAAAAGAGTTGGCTTTGCAATGTAATTGTTATTGATAAAGTTACAGGTTCTTCTCGGTGCATGAATGTAGGTCAATGCAAGAATTAGTGTGTGTATCTGATTGTACAAGAGTGGGTTGATGGACAGAAAAGAATAAAACCACAGAAAGAGAGAGAGCAGACGAACAGCACTGTAGAATGCAGCACACGTATTGCTGCAAGACAAATGAAGAGATTAAATCACACGCAGTTTCACTGAAAATGCTGTCCTTAAACTAAAAATAACATTAATACAGTTTGTAGACAGTGAATGTGCGTAATTTCCCAAGGGTGAACTTTGCTCAGGCACCCCTGGGAGAAAAAGAAATCTTGAACAATTGAAATTGTTTTGGGGAAGAATGGGTATGTTGAGACAAAGGGTGTTGAGCAGTATTTTTACCACATGGTTTCAAGGGAGGAGGGCCGAATTTGTTTCCTTTAAAATGTCACCGATCTCTGATTTATTGAATAATCTAACATTGAATCTAATAAACTGACCAGTCCTCTGAGAAGGAAGTCATTGCCACATGAGCTTTTCCAGCATTGACTGTTGTGTCACTGAGCTAATACAACCAAAACAAGGAACACTAGGTCAAACAATGTCAAAGCTTAATTGCAAAAGCCTGGACACCACTTCACAGTTCTGCAAAATGAAAATCATACAGGAAGTTGCTGTGTGAAAAACTGTGACATCCTTCTGCCACTCACAAAGTTTTCGACTTTAATAGCTGTAGTACTGGCTAATCAGAATAGAGGAAAAGCAGGACTGATTCAACTGTTAAACCACTAGTAAGCAAAGAAACGGGAAATTACAGTGCTACAGTAAAAGTGATTGAGTAATTAATCACTGTAATTTCCCGTTTCTGTGCTCTAACACTTTAGTTGTCTGCGCTCTTTATTATTTATTTATTTATTTATTATATACAAAACCCCATTTTTGGCGTCTATCTTCTTCTTCTGCACCGTGAATGGGTTTAAATAGGAGCAAGAGGCTCAACTTTCTTCCAACCTACAGCTACAGACTCCATTTCAGCTGTAGGTTGCAGAAAAGATGTTGATCTTTCAAAGTTCTATTTGGTGTTTGCTAAAAAAATGTTTAGTAGGAGCTATGCCCTTCCAAAGTGAAGGGTTTTACAGCTTTTAGCAGACTTTAGAGTGTTTCATGTGATCATGTTAGAGGGTGGAGAGGAGGATTTTCCAGACCAGAATTATTTTGTAAACTGCTGCCAGTTGTGTATATTTATCTCCAATAGGAAAAAAAAGGCACCAAAATGTGGCCACAAGTCTTGTCTCCCTCAAATGTCAATCCTGCTCAGTGGATGTTTAGTTATTTATCTCTGATCCTTAATTGATTGACAAGTCTCAGTCATCTCTCATTCATTCCCTCTTGCAGTAGCAGCTGCACCCTGGGTTCTCCCCCTGTCACTAATTCTTTAACTTCCTCCCTGTTAGGAGTTCGGACACAAGATGTATATTTTTATGCTCAGCTACTCAAGTACTAACTAAAAAGTCCAAAATGATTTTTTTAAGCAAATACACTTTTTGTATCAACAAAAGATCACATTATCTCTGTAATAGCAAGCTTGCTGGTAGTGTAGTCAGTTAGATTTCAGACCGTGAAGCAGCACCTCTTGTTCCAGTCGTGAGTTCAGATCCCGCAGCAGTGACAATCTCAGGGCGTCCAATACCAACACTCTCAGAAAAAGTGACAAAATGTAGTTATTTGACGCTAAAGGTACCCTTTAACGTAGTTGTTTGACGTGTGAAATGCCGGGAAGCCTCTCTATGAGACGCTCTGGGGCGTCCTGTACAGACCGGAAGTGCTAGTTAGCTAGCAGTAGCTAGCTAGCTACGTTCGTGATAAAGGTGTTGACAGCCCCCCGAAGCCCCTACCCTTACCATAACCATCAGAAATGTCAGTACCTAAACTTACCTCCCTCGTGTTGCTGCAACGCAACAAACGAGGGCATT